TTGCATTGAGAAAGCCGTATCTGAACATCTTCAATGCCAGATTATCATTTTGTAATTGAAGATGGGATAAATTATTATTAATTGAAGTGACATTAGCGGTCATTTTACAACCGCTCTTAAAGGGAACTTAAACTTCGTCCCTTGAAGTTACAAGATCTCAAAAGGTAGTGGCTGTAACCAACAGGTTGGTACTATAATGCGCACGCAATATTCCGAGCGCGTTAATTCTCTCTCTTTTTTATGGAAGCCTAAACAAAAAGTTCTCTAAAAGTGCATTTCTATTTGTCTAAAAGTGCACTTCCAAACAATTTATGTTGTTCAAAATTGCTTTTCTAAAAATTGGAAGATTCTTTAGTAGCGAATATGTATTAAAAAGTAGCGATGAAATCTTTCTTTTAATTGGAATATTCTTGAGTAGTGACCCACCCAACAAATCTGTACTTGAGTTTTTTTTCCATGTTATTTATTTGAACTTTTTGATTATTAGTATATCATGTTAAGCTAAAGTTTTTATTGTACAATGTACAGATGTCAGGAAGGGCAGGCCGACCACCATTTGATGACACAGGCATGGTTATAATCATGACAAGGAGAGAAACGGTGAATTGTTCTGCAAAATGCTTTTTAACTTCTATATTCTCAAAGTTCTTCAATTTTGATCACTAACTCTGTTCTTTCACATGTGCTCTTGTTTTCTCTTGCATATGCTTGTACTCCAGGTTCATTTGTATGAGAACCTCTTAAGTGGGTGTGAACTAGTGGAATCACAGTAAGACAGCCTCTTTCAAAGTTGCCAATAGATAAAAGATGATTTAATGTTTCTCATATTATGTGAACTATGGGAAATCATCTCGTTCAGCTAATTGATTTTTGTTTATCCTAGATTACTCTCTTGTGTGACAGAGCATTTACTTGCCGAAATAGTTCAATTGACAGTAACTGATATTACAAAAGCAATTGAATGGATTGAATGTTCATACTTGTATGTTAGAATGAAAAAGGTAAGTGAGTGCGAATGTCTTTTAGTTTTGTCTTAGTTTCTACCATCCGATTTTATGAAATTTTTTATCCACGAGCAGAATCCCACGAACTATGCAATTAAGAAAGGAACTTCTGATGGTCGTATAGAGAAACATGTGCAAGGTACAATTGGCACCTGAATAGTTTCCCCCCTATTTCAAGCTATGCATTACTAAACCATGTTATCTCAGAGGTTTGTGTTCAGAAAGTTAACGAGTTATCACAGTTTCAAATGGTCTGGGTTGATGAAGATGGTTTCCTCTTGAGACCACTAGGTATTGATATATTCAAGAACAATGATATCACTTAAGTATTTGTGAAATCTTAAAACTGGTTCCTGATATTTTTCCTTTTCCTACCTTAGATCCCGGAAGGTTGATGACAAAGTACTATTTGAGATTTAACACCATGAAACAGATAATGCGGACTCCTGAAAATTGCAGTTTAGAAGATGCTCTCCGTGTTGTATGCTATGCCGAAGAAATTGCATGTGCGCATGTGTGTTGAAACTTTTTATATAAGGAAATATCATTTTGCCATTAAACCTTGACACAATTATTTACTGAAAAATGTAGGGATACAGCTCAGACGCAATGAAAAGAAGCTCTTAAATGATATCAATGCAGACAAAGATGGACGGCTTCGATTTCACATTCTTGGAGATAAAGGAAAAAAGAAAAAGCGCATTCAAACAAGAGAAGAGAAGATATTTATTTTAGCAAATGACTGCTTCACTGGTGATCCTTCAGTGCATGACCTATCTCTAATTCAGGTAAGCATTGTAACATCAGTATTTTTTGCTATGGGTATGTCTTAGTGATTCAATATGCTCCTTTTACAGGACATAAATTCTATATGTTCAAATGGATTTAGAATTGCAAAATGCATGAAAGACTATTTTGTCTATAAAAAGAATTTCAAAGGAGCTGCAAATTCAGCCCTTCTAGCCAAATCATTTAACCAGAAACTTTGGGATGATAGTCCATACCTTTTAAAACAGTTGCCTGGAATTGGGATGGTTACAGCAAAGGTGATACTAGCTGATTTTATTTATTTTTGCATTTTATTAATGCATATAATAATTTCTAATACTTTACGCAGCATATCTTTTAATTGCTCAGTTTTCTGAATTTGATGTTCTTTACAGGCACTGCATTCAATGGGAGTTAAATCATTTGAAGCACTCGCTGAAGCTGATCCGAGGAAAATAGAGATAGTGACTGGTCGAAAATACCCATTTGGTAACCATATTAAAGATTCTCTTTTATCACTACCTCCAAAAGTTGATGTGAAGCTTGCAGAAATTGAAAGCCATACACATGGAAAGTCCAAGCTAGCAGTAACATTGACTAGGATATCACAGTCGGGGCAGTCAGCAAAACGACATTATGCTGATATGGTGTGTTATCTGAATGTTTTCTTAGAGGACTTTTAAGCATTTAATAATTTAATTAAGTTAATCAAATTTCTTTCTCACAGATCATTGGTTTGGAGGAAGACAACACTATTCTCTTTCATGAAAAAATTAGGTGATGATGACTTATAAATTAGATTTTATGACTTGATACTGTACACCAATTAAAAGAGTTTCTATTCTATCAAATATGTCTACTTGTTGGTATTGACTAATTAGTATTTAGTATTACGACACTATATTTGTGCAAGCTGTTACCTCATCTAATCACAGTTTAATCTTTTGCAAATCGTTGTTGCAGGGTTGATCAATTCTCCAGGTACGTGAATAAACCCTGGCTTTATATTTGCAGTAAAAACAATTTATGTTAGAGCATATCCAGATTGAAGTAAGAGACATTGAAGAAGTTTTAAATTCTAGATCCAGTGTTTGAACCTTGGAAACTAACATAACAGCTAATTTACTAGTATTTGTGTATAAAAAATATTTATAAAAAAACTCTAACTGAAGCATGTTAAGAATTTTAATTTGGAGGATCATCACTAATATTTATAAAAGAAGTCACCGCATTATAATGTTGATCATTGAACTTGTAAAAAAAAAGGGTTTGAGAATCTTTTTGCATGGAAGTTGTAAAAATTTATGATATCTCTATTGACTGTATGGATACTGTAAACAGTTACAATTACTGCACATTGCATGTGCAATTTGGGTTGTGTGTAAATGAATAAATCATATAACTCTTACCGTCCTAGAGTCAAATTCTCTTCTGATATCTATTTTTTACTTTCCAACACATTCAGCATGAGACCTTTTTGTTTTCATATTACAGCCCATATAGCACAACAGTTCTTGTGCCCATGTCACAAGGGAAGCAGACTATCAAAGCCAATTTTATATTTGAGGAATACAGTAAGAAGCAGTTAAATAAACCTCTACAAAATAGTTAGTCTACATTGTGGAATTTGGACTTAATTTTTCATTTTTTTTCACACAGTTGGTATTGATGTCCATCAAAAGCTTTTCCTAATGAAAGATAGCAATTCAAACATGATTTTAAAAAGAAACAGGAAGCAGACTTCTTTTCCTCCACCTGAAGAGATATTTGTAATACAAGATGATGACATAAATCTAACTCATATACCACAGGAAGAGACAAGCACTTGGAGCAAGGATAATGACATGTGAGTCATTTTCACTTGAAATGTCTGACATAAATATTTCTCGGGTCAGTTAAAGTATAGCATTTGGAAGATATCAAATTTTTATGGTGCTCTTTATTTGCAGTCCCAGTTTCGACCTCTTTGATGACATGTTTGAGGAAGGTAGCACTCCTAATACGATTTTACTAACTTCTGGGATTTATAAAAATATTATTCTCTTCACCAACTAATTTTGTCATTCTGTGTGAAAGGCGGCAATGCTCTCGAGGTTGAAGAAGAGAAATCCAAAGTTATCACTGAGAAAACAGTATTTGATCACATACGTGAGAAAGCCAAAAGCTTTTCTCTACTGTCTTCATTTGAAAACATCCGCTGTCCATCAGTGGAGGTTTTTCTTGGTAGAAATCATGCCCGTGAGAAGACGTCTTGCCATGATCGTGAGAAGAGGTCTTACCATGGGCATGAGGTAGTTGTCTTGGATGATGATGATAATAAAGTTTCAGGACAAACTGATGTCAATTTTCCTGCTGATCTCAGAAAAAAAGAACACAGAGATATCAACCTCCGTCTGATTTTAAATGATCATAATCTAGCTGAAAGCTCATATAACATGAGCAGTTTAGTTGATGATACAGGTACACCTTTTCACTAGCAGCAGTGTAGATGCATTATTAATATGTTTCCTTTATAATTTCATTATTGTTTCTCTTTATTGCTGAAGGTGTTTTCTTCACTGAACCTAAAGCAAGAAGTTATGAAAATTTAACTGAAGAAACAGTATTTGACCATATAAAAAGAAAATCTAAGGATTTCCCCCGGATCAGTAAGCTTGATTGCGTGCAGACAGCAATCCCGAAAACTGAATTTTTCTCAAAGAACCATCCCAATTCTTTGAAAGCTGCTTTAGGTGTGGTACCAAAGACTAATTTCTCAGGCATGGTCGGTGGCAGTATGCTAATGTCAGATACGGAACCTGCTAATATAAAAAACTATTCATCTGGTATTCAAGTTGGTAATTCTGTTGAACACAAGAAATTTGAAGATTCTTGTTGCACAGATGGGGTAGTTAATATTTCTAAGGGCTTTTTGAAAACCAATTCTGTTCAATCGTCCAATTTTGTTCCAATTGTTGGTTTTCCAATGTCTAAAGAAAAAAACTGGTCAGCAGATTCTGGAAGCTTTGAACCGAGCAGTAAGAAGCAGCGTTATTTGCCAATGGAATCAAAAGAAGAGAAGTTAAATCCATGTGAAATAGTAAAACAATTCTGTTCTTGGGAAACTTCAGGCCAAATGAATCAGAAAGAGCCATGTCTCGGGTTTAAAAGTGTATTCTCTTTTCTCTGATTTTCTTTTACAAGGAGAGACAGCTGATAATAACACCAAAGTGTTGACTGTTGGTAATTTTACTCAACTTTTACTTGCAAGGACTTGTAATCCTTCTGCGCACAGGTAGAACTTGGCATGCAGGGTTGCAGTTTGTTATAGGCATGCATGCCTATGTAGTATATTACATCTGAAATAAATTTCACAAAATTAAAACTGCTTCTAACAAAATAAAGAGGAAAATACAGTCAACTGATCTCCCTTAAGATTTAGCTAAATAACACAAACATTTTCTTTAGCTTTTAAAATACAATAACTGTCCTCTATCATGATGTTAGCAATGTGTGTGGCTTGAATCAAAACTCCCTTTAGCTTTCATATAATATTCCATTTTTGATAGTATAAATTTAAACATATTTCTCTAACGAATTATTAAGTTGCAAAGAAGAGTAAGACATCGATGTTTATGCCTAAGGGCATGAAATTGCGAAATAGAAAAATTGAAAGGATTTAGTTATGTGAGTGATGGTAGAGTTGAGGAACAAGCAATAGAAGCACAGTGAAGGAAGTCACTTACAATCAAAGGAGTGGGATTTTAATGGCTAGGATATATAATGTTATGATCATTGGTTGATAAGATTTGATCTATAACGGGACATAAAAGACGTGTGGTTCTTTGGTATTTTGATATATCATGGTATTGTTATGGTTGTCGTTAAATAAGATTTAATCTACATGTAACATAAAAATGGAAGTTTTATTTGGTGTTTTAATATACTTTGTGTTTTTTATCAATTATTTCTTTTTTATTAATCATTTAAATATTGTTTTATTGAATTTTATTTTGTTATTTTTGTTCGGTCCTATTTGGATGTTATTTTGGGACAAGTTCCTTAACCTCATTAGATCTTGAGTGTTGATAGGTTGAAAAATCAAATCTACCAAAATGGATGAATGATGTTGATGATATTTCAAACTCTAATTTCATCTGATACATCTCTCTCTTCATCTTATCCTTTTCTTACTTGTGATATATGTTGTTGGAGAATGATCTACATATCATTTCTCTAACATGTGGTACAAAGATTGCTATTAACCGATCTCAAAATAGGTGTGACTTCTACATAAATACATATAAATATTTTATATAATAAATAAATTATTGAAATATTTTATTTTATTGATATTTTATTATATATATTTATATTTAATTATATTAGTTATTTATTAATTTAGAACCCTAATTAAATAATATGACTACTTAGATTTATAATTAGATAATTAATTATATATGAAATTAATTATATATGAAATTAATAATATGACTACTTAGATTTATAATTAGATAATTAATTATATATGAAATTAATTGATATTGTCTCAATATGAATGAATTTATCAATGATCTATTTTGAAAAAATAACAATTTTAATTGGCCATTACATTATATAACATATAGTCCTCGGGATATTAAATATTATTTTGAATCGGTCATGTCGACCCCAACTGACCACCATGAAGGAACCACACTCCTTTCAGAATCTTCTCAACACATGAGAATAATATATGAAACAGTTATATAATCAGGATTCATATAAACAACAGTTGTGATATGTGAAACAGTGACACATGAAAACAAAAATTAACTACTCATAAAAGTCTACCTTCATGAGAAGGTGTTTCAAGGGATGTGCTCAACATGGACTTATGCTATTATGGTAAAAATCTTAAGAAAAATAGTACTCATCATATGAAATGAGAGATTTCAAAGAGTGTGAAAACTAACAAGAGGCCTCAAGATGCGTGATAATGATAATGACTTCTTCATAGTCAAGTTTGAGAATTTTTTACTAACATACACCCTTTTTACCAACTAAATCCCAATATACCACACATTTCAATCAATATTCCCACTATACCACCTTTCCAAAAAAAAAAATTGAAATTAGGAGGCTCCGCCCAATGGATGGGCGGATGATCTTTATTTTATACAGCTTCCGCCCATTGCATTGGCGGAGCTGTTTAAATGACGTTTTTTGTTTTAATTTAGAAACTAAAAAAAAAAATTACGTTTGTACTCTTCTGCCCATCCAATGGGCGGAGCCTCTCTATTATTAACAGCATCCGCCCAATGCTTTAGCGGATTGGATAAAAATTGCACTGCTCCGCCCATTGTATTGGCGGATGAGTTGTGGCAAAAAAATTTTTGTTTGAAAAGAGGGTAGATTGGGATTATTGAATGTAGTAGATGGTATATTGAGATTTAGTTGATAAAAAGGGTGTATGTTGGTAAAAAATTCCAAATTTGATATACGAACAAACAAGAAGAAAGTCATCTTAGAGAATTTTAACTTTATCAGATAATTACTCTAGTGATAACCCCTTTGTTCCAAACATTATGTTATTACTTTCCTTTTAAATGCACTAATTGCATGTCAACCAAATCAAAATAATGAATTTCTTAATCTCTTCACGAAATAAGTGAGACCCGCATAATTGACATGTGTGATTGAATGCATTACAACGTCATCACATAGGAATTTCCTAATATATGCTATCCTACCGAGGGTTGAAATAATAAATATTTCACATAATTAGAGAATTTATTAATTCAAATTTCATAGAGTCTCGAGAAATATTTATCTTGTCGGGAGAACCACGAATAAGGCATGTGTAGCTTTTCTTTAATTTCCTCCTCAATCAGCTATGTAAGCGAGGACTACTGATATGAATCTTTCAGATGATAACCTCTAAGAAGTCTGTGTTCGACCGTTTAGAGGTCGATTTATCTTTGGAATAATATGAGTCTTAGTAGAAAGTAATTATTATCCTAGTTTCTTTTCGATCGACTTAGGTTATCTTCTTTAAGTCTATTGCTTCTGCATACCACCGCTTCAAGGGATACAGCCGTGCAACCAATGTATTTGTGGTTGGTTTACTTGATCATGAATAGTGTCTTCTCTCTATCATTCTGAATTTACATGTATGTTCGCATTTGAGTGAATGCTTGTGACTAATGATGATGTGCGGCCGGTTGAGTTGTTTATCCACTTGCTTGTGTTATGCAATGAATTGAAGTTTTTCAAGCGCATTCTATGAAAGTCGGTATGATTTATAGTTGTATCTTCTTCTTTCTGGAGGATTTCTTAACTTATACAACATTTAGAATATCCATGTACTTATCTTCAGAAATGGAGTTGACATCAACACTTCTTGGGCCTTTCAGATAGTAGCTTCGACTTTCTTTGGATAATCCTTGAAATCTTTCTTTTTGACATTCTTTGGAGAATCAAATCAAGTGGAAGCTTTTTAAATACACAATTAAAAATCCATCAATGAGAGGTCGTCTTATATCACTTAAATATGTCTTATCTTTGTTACATGTTTATTTTATTTCCTTCTTCAAGCTCCTTTAAGTATTATTTCTTCTGTAATCTTTATTTAAATATTGGCTTAAATGCATTTTTGTCACTCTATTTTAATTTTTCTTAGTTTTTATCCCCTTATTTTGAAAACTAAATTTTCAGTCCCTCCATTTTAATTTTACTCCCCTTATTTTATTATTTTACTTATTTAATTTATATATTTTATTTAAAATCTCGAATATAATAAAGTGGAAGGACCAAATTTTTTCAGTTTTTAAAATAGGGGATCAAAACATAAATAACATGAAAATAGAGAGAGATCAAAATTGCATTTAAATGTTAACTCTTTTCTCTACCGTGGGAGTGTTAATGGTGTGAAAATTCATTATATTAATTGGAAAATAGGGGTCGAGGAGTTCAAAAGCATAAGAGAGTTTAATTAGTAATTGTTAAGAAAGTGAGGTAGAGGATGCTAGTGAATAAAAATAAGCTAGGGTTTAAAGTTTTAGTTAAAAATATGAGATGGTTGATTGTAGAATTTCGAGTGAAGGAACTGCGGAAGAAGGCGTCAGGGTGGTGAAAAAATTTAATTAGTGTTAGAGAATGGGTTGGTTTGAAACAAATCAACTAGTTTGAATAATTATGTTAGGAGAGTGGTTAAATCCGTGAAAAACACATTGTTTTGAAAGGTTAGACGGCCTTCACATAAGTGTCATCGTGACATATTTAATAAAAGTTTTGAATTATCGATAAATATTAATATTTTAGTGGTTATGGGTTGGAGTCGTGTCTTGGTGGTGGTGGTAAGAGATAGCATCAACACCTTTTTGCATGGGAGAAAGAGAGGATTAGAAAATATTATATTTTACTACTTAAAGTTGTTTCGTAGGTTAATGTGTTTGACAAATGAACGAGGAACTTTGATCCTGACAAAGGTTACTCTATCAAATATGCATATTATTTAATAATCAATCATGTCTCATCCTAATGGTGCATATGAAAATTGTTTGGAATAATTTTGTTCCTTTAAAAGTATCAATATTTGTTGGAGACTTTTTAATAACAAACTTCCAACAAATCATAACTTAGCTCGGCGTGATATTTTAGATCAAAACTCGCGGGTGTGTCACAAGAATACGGCTTGTTAGATTAAATGGTGATAATTATTCTTTGAATGTGATTTCTATAGATATGCGTGATAAACTACAAACAAATAATTAGGAATTTCTCGTGTTCTTCATAATACTGCGTCTAATCACACATATCAAATTTGTGAGTCTTACTTATTATGAAAAGACTAGAAAATTCGTTATTGTGATTTAATTGGCATGCAATTGGTGCATTTAAAAGGAAAGAAATAACATAATATTTAGAACAAAGGGGTTATTTGTCTAATAAAGTTAAAATTTTCTAAAATAACTTTATTTTTGTTTGTTCGCATATCAAACTTGATTATGAAGAAGTCATTATCATTATCACGCATCTCAAAACCTCTTGTTAGTTTCCGCATTCTTTGAAATCGCTCATTTCATATGCTTATATCATAATGTTTTTCCTAGGAGTTTTACCATAATAGCATCGGTCCATATTGAACACGTCCCTTAAAACACCTTCTCATGAAGGTAGACTTTTGACGTTAGTTAATTTCCATTGTCATGTACTTCGATATGCACCAAATTGTGTGCAATTAAATCTATCTTTTCTATTTGCATTGGGGCAACTTCAGTCACACCTATGTGTTTGCCACCGAATGACACCTTCTCCTGTGATTTTTTTAGTGGCTTTATCGTTTAAATCTGATACATTGGTGGCATTGATCATGTTTTATTTGTTTGTCGATGACGAGAACACCATTCCGTCCATTACATGTGCAAAATGATGTTTAGGTAATCAGTGATTTCTGTCATTTGTAACATTTATTTTAACTTCAATTTATAATAAAATATTTTGATATCAAAAGTGAAATTAAATCAAATATTTTTCGTTCTTTCTTTAATAAATTTATAGGATAAAAAATTGCTTAATAAATCATGTGATAACTAAAAGTAAATATTTGTATAATTTGTTTTTTAATCTTACAACACCCACTATATATTTTAAATATTTCAGAAAAAATATTAATTTATCATGATGTTTGTTTTGAACAAAGGAAAGTTTAATTTTCAACGTAGAAAAATATCATAAACTTAAATCTAGCGTTTTAGACCACTCAACCATTCTGAAATATTGTTGATTCTTTTATTTGACCTTTATATAAATTAAATCAACATGCTAAATCATAACATACAGAGCACACCCATTTTTATGTTAGATGTAAATTAAATCTTCTTTAACGATAACCATAGCAATACCATGATATATCAAAATACCAAAGAAGCACACGTCCTTTATGTCACGTTGTAGATCAAATCTTATCAATCAATGATCATAACATTATATATCCTAACTATTAAAATCTCACTCCTTTGATTGTAAGTTACTATGCTTCTATTGCTTGTTCTCCAACTCTACCATCACTCACATAATTAAATCCTTTTGATTTCTCTATTTTGCAATTTCATGCCCTTAAGGCATAAACACATCAATGTATTTACTCGTCTTTGCAACTTAATAATTCGTTAAACACTTCAAAATCTCTTTAGAGAAATCTGTTTAAATTTATACTATCAAAAATGAAATATTATATGAAAGTTAAGGGGAGTTTTGATTCAAGCCACACACATTGCTAACATCATGATAGAGGACGGTTATTGTATTTTGAAAGCTAAAGAAGATGTTTGTGTTATTTAGCTAAATCTAAAGGGAGTTCAGTTGACTGTATTTTCCTCTTTATTTTGTTAGAAGCAGTTTTAATTTTGTGAAATTTATTTCAGATGTAATGTACTACATAGGCATGCATGTCTATAACAAACTGCAACCCTGCATGCCAAGTTCTACCTGTGCGCAGAAGGATTACAAGTCCTTGCAAGTAAAAGTTGAGTAAAATTACCAACAGTCAACACTTTGGTGTTATTATCAGCTGTCTCTCCTTGTAAAAGAAAATCAGAAAAAAGAGAATACACTTTTAAACCCGAGACATGACATGGCTCTTTCTGATTCATTTGGTCTGAAGTTTCCCAAGAACAGAATTGTTTTACTATTTCACATGGATTTAACTTCTCTTCTTTTGATTCCGTTGGCAAATAACGCTGCTTCTTACTGCTCGGTTCAAAGCTTCCAAAATCTGCTGACCAGTTTTTTTCTTTAGACATTGGAAAACCAACAATTGGAATAAAATTGGACGATTGAACAGAATTGGTAAATAATTTATTTTACCCCTTTCTTGGGGCTCACGGCAGAAGAGACTTTCTCCCACAACACAGAGAAGTGTTCATATTTAGTGTTCGACAAAATTTTGAATATAGTTACCTCAAGTAAAAGAAACTTACTAAAAATTTGTGAATGTTCATAAATTCTAACTCGTACAAAAGATGGAAGTTTTTTAATTTATACATAATATACATATCTATGTATAATGGCAGCCATTCCATTGAAGGTTGTAACAGCAAGTCTCTAAATTCATAACAAGGCCTTCAAGGCTACAGGATATCAGGATAGCCAATTAATAAATAGATTTAATATGACTAATTTTAGCCATAAACCTTGATGCCCTTGTTTTGGTCTATATTTTAGTGAATTAATGTACATTTACATAATTTTAAGCACATGCAAAAATCACAGCATGTTCTGAATAAAGATTTCAATTTGAGCCAAACTCTTCATTCCACCTTTCAAGCTCTTCCCATTTACTTTTGTTTAAACTCGGTCTAATGACAGACATTGCTTTCTTAAAATCCTCATACCTCAGTCCTCTTACCTGGTAAAACCGAAGGAAAAAAAAGTTAACACTTAATAACAAAAGGAAGATTTTTTGCTTAGAAGATTAATACTCCGCCAACAAAATTTAAAGCAATTTGAAACCGGCATACCTGATTTGCCTTGACAGTAAGAATGTTTGGACCCAGCTCTCTAATTGGCATCATTGCAGCTTCTTCACACAAGGCTTGCAAATCACTTCCAGAGTATCCTGTAAACAAAGTAAAACAATTATAATGGAGATATTTGTACACAAAAAAAACAAAAAGAATGAAGAGGAAAAGAATATTTCAACATATTCATTTCCCTCTCATCATCATGACTCAAAATCGATAATTACCTTCGGTCTCTTTTACAAGCATTTCTAGATCTCTACCTGTAACAAAAAAAATGAGTTAAAAAAAGAGTAGTGTGAATAACAAATAAAGTAAACAAAGGCACAAGCTAATCACCACACACGCGCACACACATATAAAACACATATACCGAAAGAAGTATTAAGGGTATAAAGAGCATATTACTTACTAGGTAAAGAGAATGATTGACCCTTGAGTTTGTGTTTTAGCAGAAGTTTCCGAACATTTTCATTTGGTAAAGGTACGTATATTCTCTTAACCTATCACAGTTAAAACAAGAACAGAGTTGGTACACAACAGATGCATGTGTTTCAAGTACATTTTAATTTTATAACTACAATTCATGATAATGAAGAAATTCTCACCAGTCTTCTAAGAACTGCATCATCCAGTTCTTGTGGCTTATTGGTCGCACCTATATTCAGAAGGATGAGGAAATTTATGCACATTTAATGAGACTAATAGATACACACGGCCGAAAACAAAATTAAATATAAACTTATTCTATCTCACACAATATTAGCTAGCTTAAGGCATTTAATGAAATTAAAAACACAAACTGACTTAACAAGCAATTCCAGATTTACAAATTACAATAGCCATAAGTTAGTTTTTTCATCCATCAATATACAAAGGCCATATGCAAGAGATACAATTGAGTTTTAAAGTGAAACAAAATAGGATAACAGAATCATTCTGTAATGATCTAATGGGTTTGACTCTTCTAAAGTGAATATTATTCTCTAAAGTGCACTCCTATCCTATCTTTAAAGCAGCTGAATTCCTCTAGAACAATCCCAAAGCCGGTCTAACAACTATAATTACTCTGTACATGTTTAAAATAAAGATAACATTACATTATTACGACTATTTTTAGAAGATTCAAGTTATGATGTTTTCCATGATTTATTCAAATTACAGCATTCTCTAGTATAAATTGTAACCATATAATGTCATTTGTCTAAGGGGAACCGAGATGAGCAACTGCAACATTATAAAGAATCTAAAGCAAAACCCTGTACGTTGTAGACGCTATGTTCTGCCAATTACTAGCAGATTAGGTCTAAAGTCTAAATTGTGCTTATTCCAGAAAGAGAATGATTAATATCAGCTGTAGTGCTTACCAATTACAATTACAATATCATCAGGATTGGATGTCACCCCATCAAACTGGATAAGAAATTCAGATTTTAATCGTCTGCTGGCCTCATTTTCATTTGCCGTCCTTGTTGACATTATACTATCAATCTGTAGTCAGATAAACAGATCATCAATATCATTTGAATGAAGTGGCGAAAATTTAAACAAGAAGCATTTGAACTTTTCTTTCTGCTGGGCAAATTCACCTATTAAACTACTAGTATGACTCAAGGAAGAGAAAACTTAACTGTTAAAAACAAGATAGCATAACTTTACAATACAGCCATCATAAGTGACTGGAATTTAGGACAATCAATGATAGTGTTTGTCAAATTATGTTGGTCATGTAGAGAGGGTTAAGAAGCTGGGTAGACTTATTAGACAAGAAATAACCTGTCACATTCAAAAAATACTCTAGTGTAGCTTACATGCATCAACAGTTTTAATAAATATTCAAGTCATCTACATATTTTAATTAGAAAATGGAAACACCCAAGACAACGTTAATCAAAAGGGATCCTTTTTTATGCACTCTTTAAAATTATAGTCCAATAATTAGAGTTGCACTCCTAACAAAGCATTAAACAAAAAATCATTAAATGCAAGGGTTAGGTTCGAAGAGTTATTGAACAATATCTTCAAAGAATTAATTTTGTAATAGTCAATTGCTCCTTGAGAAAGAAAAAATAGTTGCACTGTCCCTAAACATATTTGTTCATTACAGTCTGTCTTGTTGTCATATTTAGTAACAGGAGTAGGGGATGGGTTGTCTCTACCCTATAGATGAGAGAGATACCTCATCAATGAAAATTACAGATGGCTGTCTTGATGTAGCCACCATGAATAGTGTCCGTACAAGCTTTTCAGCTTCACCCACCTATTGAGTACATGTTAACCATGGTGAAACTTAAATGTCAGCAATTAAAATAAGAAATGAAATGAAAGTCAACACAAACAAGTTAGGGGGTGTATAGATAAAGATGTACCCATTTTGATGTCAAGGAAGCTGCAGTGACATTAAAAAAAGTTGCTTCTGATTCCGAAGCCACTGCTTTGGCAAGCATAGTCTTACCATTACCGGGCGGACCAAAGAGAAGCAAACCTAGAATAAAAAGGTTCAGCAGTTTCAAATTTGTGTTTCGATTCTGCAATTTACATCATTATCTATTTCATAACCCAAAGTGATGAGGTTCCAGGGCAACACCTCTAGCTGGCCTTCGAAGACCTGTGAACAAGTCTCTTCTTTTAGTTGGTAAAATCACCATCTCCATTAAAGCTTGCTTTGCCTTTTCAAGGCCACCTGCATTTCGATACTAAGAATCAAATAAACAGTAACATGTTTAAGTATAAAGCAAATGTGCTTAGATTCATACCAACATCATCCCATCGAACAGAAGGACTTCGGTCTACAATTGCAGTGTTAATCATTTCAACCAGTTTTGGGTCATAATTTGCTCCAGATGTTTGACTAGATTTTGGGCTTTGAACTTTATTCACTTCATCTTTTCTTTGAGGATCCTTTTGTAACACTTTTTTGGTAGTATTTGACAGTTTAGAGGGAATTGCAGCAGTTTGTGCATGGTTTGAGGTGCTCTGCAAGCATTTTTGGGGAAAGCGAAAGGGATGTTAAAGTTTCATATAATCATAAACTCAGTACGGAATTCCCAATCTTCAGTGAATCAGACAGAAAATATTCAAGTCCAATGCTAACACACCGTACTTTCTTCGATCGCTATCATAAGCAAAAAAATGCTTCAAATATTGGTCAACATTATAAGCAAAAGTTAACTACTTTTCAGCAATTTAATGTTAGTATTTCATATGTTGTTAATTCCAGATAACGTCTAGTAGCAGCAACCCCCTAAAATGCTACAGGGGTATATCCGATAGCGGGATAGACGCTATTGCAAAACCAAAAAATCAGGGTACAAAATAAATATAAATACTCAAAAATAGAAAAATACAAAATTAAAGAAACTATCATACTTAATAATTAAAGATCCTAAAGCACAAACAATTAAACTTAAATAGGGGAAAAGAACATAACAAAGTTAAACTAAATGTAGGAAGAAGAACCTAATAAGGGGAAAAGAACATAACAAAGTTGAACTAAATGTAGGAAGAAGAACCTAATAATTGTCTGTGAGCAAGAACATAGTTGAATGACAACGGTTTGAAAAAAAGGTTTTTGAAGAATTTCACCCCGTAACTCTAATTGTGGACACGATGGCATTTTGGGGCCGCAACAACCGCTATTCCTGACGATGGCTCGCGTGCCAAGAGTGTCTCCATGAATCCTACCATTGTTATGCCATTCCTCTAAAGAACCATTGTAGCACACTATTGACAACATAGATTATTTCTAATACACCCTTCATTTAATTCAAAAACATTTAATGCGGATAGTTGAATGAGTTTTTTCACTAAATATCAAAAAGGATACAACAATGTTTCCAAAAAAAAAAAGGATACAACAACAACAACCTCAACAACCAAGCCTTATCCCACTAAGTGGAGTCGGCTACATGGATCAACTTTCTGCGTAATGTTCTATCCAGCACCATGTTTCTATCCAAATCATTAATCTAGAGATCTTTCTTAATCACTTCATTAAATATCAAAAAGGATAATTTAATAAATCTGACTTAAGTTATACATTAAATCTAGAAAATTTATTGCACTAAACTAAATTCCCAAATCATCGTGAAAGTAGTTTTTTTATATAATAGTGATTGGAGGAAGTGTGTTTTAAGAAGCACCGGCTGCATTGAAGCAAAAAGGAGGAAAACAAAAAACATACTTACAGAGAGTTTAGAGAGATCATATCATACCTGATTGGAAACTGAGCTACCTGGATATGGTAAAAGAGGAAGAGGAACAAGGAGAGGATGAAAAAAAATTATAAGAATTCTTGGAAAACTCATAATGGAAATGGAAAAAAGGAGAAGGTTGCTGAAACAGAGGCAAACCTGCCCGTCTATTAAGAGCCTGCAATCTCTCAGAAACTTGTCCCTGCCATTTTGATATCTTTTGACGATATGATTGTACCTTCTGTTTCTCACTGTCATAGATTCATAGATTCCAATAAGCAAACAACAAAACGTAAGATAATAGGAACCCTCTTTTATCATTAAGAATGTGTTTGGTTTCGCGTTAGAAAACCAAATCATGTTAAAAAAATCATATCCCAGTGCTAAAATACGTGAAAATAATGAAGCAACTATTTGGAGCTTTTGAGTTGACATGGTTTTCAATGTGATTTTGATCAAGTTGATGGGCATCCAATTACAAACTAAGTCACTAAGGAACAGTGTTAATGAAGTGAGTGGACTATGGGCCTGTTTGGATTGGCTTATTCAAGTTTATCTACTGATATAAGTTTTGTGACACTGTTTGGGAGATTTTATTAAAACAGCTTATGACTTTTTTTTTATAAACACTTTATAAGTTCTTCAAGATAGTTTATAAGAACAACTCATAGGATATGTAAAAACTATTTAAATTTATTTTATCTTTTGCTTTAAAAGTGACTTATACAAGCTTATTCATAAGCGCTTATTTTCGTAAGCACTTATGCTATAAGCTGTAAATAAGCTATTTATCCAAACAGGCCCTATATATAAGCTGTTACATAGCTAAAGGCTGTCTTTTATGATTAAATGACTGAATTCTGGTGCAATTTGGAAGGTAAAAACAGGCAAAACAAAAAGGGGGAACGCAAGATACCAAATATCCCAAATTTTCTATTATCATTAAGGCCATGATTGGATTAACTTCTAGCTTACCACCTATAAAGCACAGACACAAACACGACACATACACGGATACCGACACATTTACCCGGGTAATAATTTGAAAAGATAAACAAATTAAACATAACCAGAAGTGTCGGAATCGGTGAGACACCCTATTTCAGAGGTGTCGGTGCTCCAAAGCTTACCAAAACTTCTGAACTAAAAACAAAAGTATGGTTCCTGATGAACTTATTTGTCCAATTCCAAAATCGCAACATTCCACATCCGTCCTAACTAACAAGATTCATGCTTTAACCAACAACACAGTCTTCAAGTTTCACATATTCAATTACCAAATTAAAACCCCAATGTTCATAAAGCAAACGGCGATCAACAAAACCAAACCTGGAAGTGATAAACGAAGGAACAGGAGTTGAATTAGCTTCGAGAAGGATCCTTTGCGCATTCCTGTAGTGAAGAATAGCGTCATCAATCAACACCCACTCTTCAGCCCTAACAGCTTTATCGATCTCTTGTGTAGCCAAATCGAAGTATCCTTTGAGCTTATAAGCGACGCGTTCGTTGGAAATCGAAGAAGGAGAAGGTTCCATTGAACTGAGATTGGTTTCAGAAGAAGAAGATGAATTCGAATTGAAGGATTGAGGAGAGAAAACAGAGTTGAAGGAATCAATGATTCCCTGAAAGAAACTCATTCCTTGCGAAAACACACGCGGTTTTCATCATATCATAGATGATTTAATGCAATTTTCGCTTGTAATTAAAAGTTAGGGATGTACTATATTTTATTTTATTTTTTTTAAGGAATTTATTGCCAAAAGAATTTTGTTATTTACAAAAAAAAAAATTTTAAACTTTAAAATATCTTGTTACATTATTAATAAAATACATTTCTCTCATGTTGATTATAATGAGATTTGTGATAGATTTTTTTACAAGTGGAGAAGAAAAAGAAAATAAAATTATTTAGAAAATAAATTTCTATTAACATCATCTAATAGGATAGTGATGATTTTTACAGAAGACTCGACAAAAGTCGAGTACATTGTATCATTATCTGATCTTACTGAATCAGAATGGACCATCACAGCTAGCTCGGGCAGAAGTTGAATATGATGGGGGTACCTGAAAGACACTCTGATGACAAAGTAAGTTGCGGAATGAGTAAGCAAGTGTAAGAGTTAGAAATTGTTGAATACCTGACCCTCTCAGAAGAGAGGGTATTTATAGTCTCCAACACTGGACCAAGGTCTCTTTACTGGACTGATCAAACAGGCTCAACGTAGAGACTGACAGGTTCTACGTGAGTAGTAGGGACCCGCACGTGGCTCCCTACCTGGATGACGTCCTCCGCAAGATCAAGAGGATATAGACGCGATCTTTCTGGGACCACGAAGACTCCGTAATATCTGGAGACGTTGCTAGTCAGCCCTACGAGGAAGATGCTCAGGAGGAGCGCCTGCTCGTCAGGGATGGTCCCCGCGAGCGCAAAAGGGAAACGTTCTTGGTCGACAAGGCCTTTATGGTCGGGGTGTGGTCGTCCTCAGTCTGTTCGGGTATTGTCCCCGCGTGGTGAGGTTGTCTCCTCACGGGAAAATGCTAGTAGTTGCCTGCCATGTTCGAGGATAACACCGATCAACGGTGCAGGTTGGCATGCTTGGATTGGGCCTCACTGGGAGTTGGGCCAAGGGCAAGCCCCGTCCAGAACAGGAGCCCCCCAAGTTGTTGCTCCTGGTGAAGGAGTTATGACTTGATTCAAGTTTTCCCCTTCGCGAGGTTCGCTGCCCGACATGGAGTTTTTCTATCGTGGATGGAGAATGTCGTCGGTTCATGATTTTGCTTTGTGCAGTGGTCGAAGCTTGTTCGAGGAGGACTCGTGGGGAGAGGATGATACACTTTCCAGACACGTGGCGTGGCTCTTGGAAACAATAATGATGGCCTAGGGAGTAGGGACCATCATTGTCTGTACGCGTAGGTGTCGAGGAGAAAGGTGACTTGTGACTGCCCGACGCGACGTTTCATATTCCACGTCAGCTCTATAAATAGGGCTTCAGGGCTCATAACTTACTTTCACATTTTCGAGCTTCTACACTTTCTCTTCCGTCAACACCGTGCGTTTTCCCAAAATCTTTAAGACCACCGCATAGTATGCCGCGTACTTACCTTAACAACGGTTGCTCTTCATCTTTTCTCCAAGTAAGCATTCGTTTTTCTTAATATCTTGTGTTGTAGATAGATTTTGATGGTGTTTAGTAGTAGGATTTCGTGTCTGGGGGTTATGCCTGGGGAATTCAAGCATTTTAGGCGTCTGATTCATGAGCATGCTCGTGGCATTCATATGTTTAGGCATACGATTTATGATCATGCACGTGGCGTTCATGCGTTTAGGCATACGATTTATGATTATCCATGTGACGTTCATGCGTTTAACTAACAAATTTATGAACTTGGTCGTGAAATTTATTCTTTCGTCAGTATCTAGGCTAGTTTTCCCCGAGACCTCCTTGTATCTGGCTAACAAATTTATGAACTTGGTCGTGGAATTCATTCTTTTCTCGCCATATTCTCCTTGTGTCCGGTATATTTATGATAGACATATGTGTTTGTCGTTAGGATCGGTGCTTGATCGAGGTCCACGTATTCCCCCTCTTTCATGCGAATGGTCGTCGACTTGGTCTGAGTGTTGCTTAACCTCTCCATCTGTGTCGCGGAAAAACGGATTTGTTGTCTGTGATCGGTGGAAATAGAACTGACTGTTTTTTAAGCTGGTTTCGCGAAATGTCGCGGTAAGCAAGAGTCACCACCGTCTTTTATGTTCTCTAACATGGAAAGGACAAAAGCACAGCAAAATTCCTTATTCGAGAATGTTTCTCGGTTTGGGAGGTAGATTTATAGAAAGGGAAGGTGTTAGCACCCTTTCTATCCGTGGTTATCCACGGGCTCTTAGGTACTTGCTCTTATGTTTTCAAAATTTGTTTGCTTTTCAAGTGTGTGTGGGTTTTGAAAAAGTTTCGTTTGAAAAATTTCTAAGTAACTCTTGTATATGTCCTCAAGAGTGTATGAAAAATTTGTTTGAAAACTTTTGAAAGTGTGAGGTGTGAAAAGTATTTTTGTTTGTTTTGAGAAAGAGCAAGTACCCATGAGAATCTACCTACTCTAAGGAATTAGGCTGTGTAAGAGTCCTTTAGATAGTGCTATCCCACCATTGAGAGGTAGGTAGCACCGTCGTTGGATGTGTTCGGGTTAATTCGATTATCGGGACAGTGTGGTCACCGAAGCAATGGTAGGACACCTTATTGGTAACCCTAATGTCCTAGATCCTTTTATCCGAGGCAACCGTTTCGAGGCAACTGGATCTTTAGACAAAAGGGCGACCTCTAAGACACCCTATACTTGATGACCACATTCGAGGCAACCAGTGAGGCGTACCCTAGGAGTGGCATGTGCTTTGTGTGTTGTTTTTCAGTTAATATTTGTCTTTGCATATTATTTGTGAGCTACGAATTGGTTTTATTTACATACATTATTTCATGCATTGTTAACAGTTAGAAGTGCGGAAAATAAATTGCAGAAATGTAAATTCTAACTATTACAAGGCGCGGGTATATACATCGCCAAAAAAACAAAAACCCGTTTTTGAAAAGTAAATGCAGAAAATTAAAGAAAGCAATAAAATCCTAATTACTATTACATCCTCTGTACAGATACATAAATATAATCAGAATAAATAAATACGCGCGAATGGAAATTTAATCGGGAACGTCCTAAGGGTTTTGACCCTTTTAAGAAAAGAATTGAATTTTTGTCCCTGTTTGTAATTAATGAAATTAAAACTAATAATTAAACTAATTAATTAATTAATTAAAAAATAAAAGTTTTTTTTTGTTTTTATGTTTTTTATGAAAATAAAATAAAAAGAATTGAAATTAAAAGTTAACCTAATTCTAAATTATTTTTATTTATTGTAAAGAAAAAGAGATTAAAATTGACCTAATTAAGCTATTTTATTTGTTAGTATTTTATTTACAAAAATAACATGAAATTAATAATAATAATAATATTAGTTCTTTTTTGATTTTTTATGAAAAATATTATTTATGTTAATTTTGGTGGTAATAATGATAATTAAAAAAAATAATTGATAACTAAATTAGAAAATATAAAAATAAAAATAAAAATAATGAACAAAGGGGGTTAATGGACCAATGGGAGGTTTATTGTTGAATTTCTGGCCCAATAGAAGCAAGCCTGTTTGACTTTTTGCAATTGACTACGCTGGCTTGACTGGGGAGCATGGTGCTCCTTCATTTCTTGGCCTTTGGATCCATGATTATGGACATGTGGCGCATGGATTGGTGAGGTGTATGATGAAGCCCTTCAGGGAGCCTGCATAGGAATATGTTAGGAAAAATTGAAACAATTATTGAGTGGACTTGGGAATCGAACCCAGGTCCTGTAGCCTTTTCCAATAGCATGGCCACCAACTGAGCTGCGCGTTTCATTTGATCTAAGAATAAGCAATGATTAATATATGTAATAAAAAGCAATATTCCTGGACATAAAAAAAACACGCGCGTTATTTTAAACAGGCCAATCAAATGCAAGCATGTGGTCATCTTCTTCCTCAAAAAATTGCAGGTTTTTTACCTGCGGATTTTATCTGCAGGTGGTTTCGTAGGTTGTTTCGAAACTCGTCCCTAGGCCATGAAAATGCTACCTGAGACCATGAGCATGTTCGTCTTGGTCCCCTGAGTTCATCCCTGCTCCTTATTTGTTCTGATTTCACCTGAACATAAAATCCCTAAAAACCATACAAACAAACCCTAGACACGGGATTTGTCACATGAGGCTTAAAAATGAAATTAAATGATGCCATTAGGTTAGAAATCAAACAAGGAGTATGAATGTGCTAAGATTTTTGAGAAATCATGCAAGAATAGAGAAACAAGATTCCATGTTCAGAGGTGATTTCGTGGGTACTTACAGCGCTTGATATGGAGTCTCAGGACTTGGCAAGGGTTGCTTTAGCTTCAGGGAGTGGCAAGGAAGAAAGCCACGTGCTTGCTTTGTTCTGAAAAGGCTTGTAACTAGGTTTTAGAACTCTCACTTTTTGGACAATTTTTAGTTTTGGTTCTGGCCGTTTTAGGTGTCTCTAGGTCGTGCTTGAGGTCTGCAAGGCTTGTATATGTATGTTTGAATGAGAATCAAATCATATGATGAGCCTTTAACCATTGTAATTAAGTTTTTGGATTTTTTCATAACCACCATTAAAGGCCTTGCCATGTTTTGTTCAAATTTTGAATTTCATGCCTAAATGATCTTTACACGAATTTGGAGCTGACTTATGATGCATCAAAGTCATTCAAACCACAAGATATCATTTAATTATTTTTTTTTATTTTTATTTGAATTTTATGGATTTAAAATGAATTAAATCAATAAAATTAAATAAAAATAGAAAAAATTAATGTTTAATCTTGAAATTAATCATGGGACACGTGGGTGGCATGGCAAGGCTGAATCAAGTGGGAAAAGGTGGGCCCTTTTGTCAAAAATTGAAGTTTCAAGGATAGTTGACTTTTGTCATTTCACAAAAATTTCCCAACTTCTCCAATGCATATCTTGCTCAATTTTGATCATATGAACATGTTCTTGGACATTTTGGAAAGGTATTGAAGTCCTCTAACCAATTCCT